GAATTAAGATGGAGAGAAGACAAAAATCAACTGTTGAAACTAAAGAAAAGGACATCTTCTTCTTTAAATTGGGAAAATTTTCTTCTATGATTTTCTTGAAAATATTTTCTTGACCTTGGAGCCTGGGGTCTTCTTTTTCATCTGTTCCTAATAGTCTTAGGTTTCATCTTTCCATGGTGTGATTGATTCCTTGGAGGTTTTGTGTCAGGACCTTTTCTGATTTAATGTCTGTTTTCGAGATATGTATTGATTTCTTCAGTTGTTTCTTCAGTGCCTGAGATTCTCTCCTCCATCTCTTGCATTCTGTTCATGATGCTGACTTCTGTGGTTCCTAATCTCTTGGCTAGATTTTCCATTTCCAGAAATTTCTCAGTTTGTGTTTTCTTTATTGATTCTAATTCTGTTTTCATGTCTTGCACCATTTCCTTCACCTGTTTGAATGTGTATTTCTTGAAAGAACTGGACGAGAAAGGATCTCCACAAGGAGACCAATAGAGCCAAAATTTCTAAGCCTTGGAGGAGGGGTTTAGGGGGCACAGAGACAATGCTCCAACCAAGGACCATGCATGGAGATAAACTAGATATAGCTCATGGCAGCTCAGTGTCCAAGTGGGTACCTTAGTAAGGGGAGCATGGACTCAGTGGCAGGCTCTTTGATCACCTCTTCCTGTGGGGGCAGCCTTGCGAGGCTACAGAGGAAGACAATGCAGCCACTCCTGATGAGACCTAATAGGCTAGGGTCAGATAGTAGAGGAGGAAGACCTCCCATATCAGTGGACTATGGAAGGGACATAGTAGGGAAGAGGGAAGGAGGGTGGGATTGGGAGGAGATGAGGGAGAGGGCTACAGCCAGGATACAAAGTGAATAAATTGTAATAATAAGTAAAATAAAATAAAATAAAATAAAAGTAAAACAAAACAAACAAACAAACAAAAACTAAAGAAAAATCCATCCAGGATCCAGGATTTAATTTACTAGGTGCAGGCATATCTGCAAATCGAAAAAAAAAAAAGAGCTATGTTTTACTACAGACATGGTCTTAGAGAAGACAAAAGCAGCCCATAGATAACTTGGAAGGAAAGGACAGGAAGGACTGGCAATGCCAAGCACACTCTGCTGGCCTGGAACGGAGCCCCAAAATGAATCTTAACAAGACGTCAAGTCCATCCTAGGTCATGCAAACCATTGTCAGAATATTTAGATTATTTGAGAATCACATAATAGCAGAGCAAAAGCATATATGACAATGTATCTTTAATAATAAAATAAATCAAAACTATCCTTATTTACCACATTCACTTCTGAATATGGTACCCTGATTAGATCACCAGTTTGTTTGAGTATCTGTGTTCCTACCAGAGCGTTCTTCAAGAAAACTTACAGAAAATAATCTGCTGCTACAAACATGTTTTCTTAAAATACTTTATTGAAAATTAAGTTTATTTACAAATCAATTAGTCCAAAATTATCTTCCAACTCTATGCTTTAGGGAATAAAATGTCAAATATGAAACATAAGGTATCATAAAAAAGAAAAAAAAGTTCAATAAAAGTGTACTCTATCATTTTCTCCCCTGTTCCTTAATTAATATGACATTTTAAGCATGATATTGACCATTCTCATTTGTATAATATTGCTTTCATGGTATTTTAAGTGTTAAGATGCTGCACTCCTATGAAACTTACACAAGAAAAATTTGTAGGACATTTTGAACAACACAAGTCTTCATGACTCACCATTTCCACCTCTTTCACAACATTCAGAAACAGTGACTTTCTCATACTAGTATTAGGGGACTAATCCTTTGGTTGGTTAGAATGATAAAACAAGATGGAGATCCAAAGACTTATTTGGGAAACCTATGAAATCTGTTCCAAAATCCAAGCTAGCAGCCGGTACTATATATATACAGATTTTCAAATTCAGCATATCAATTTTCCATCTGTGAAAAGGCACATAAAACTTCCTATTGCACAGATAACCATTTCAAATGATCAGTAAAATCTTTATATCTGTATTGGCGCACATCATTTTTCTAGCCTTAAACTGAACAAAATCAATAACAAACTAGCAAACAAACATGGGCCTTAGATACCCTAGATCTGTTTTAACCATTAATTTTGCATAACACTCATATTCTGACTTAAAAATTTGTCTGTTATAAACCAGAAAGGGTCATCTCATCTGCTAGCTTGGGGATATGTCGTATAAAAAAAATTGAAATCTATAATGGCTTGAAAACTATAACAGTACCCACCACAGTCTTAGCAGTTTGTAATCTAAGCCATTCTGATCTGTCTTGTTTAATTTTTTTTTCACAGAACCCACATATATATGTATATATATACATATATATACATACATACATACATACATATACATACATATATATGCAGATGTTTAATTTTTAATTCATTATTTATTACAATTTATTCACTTTGTATCCTTGCTGTGGCCCCTTCTCTTCTCCCCCTATGCCCCTCCACTTGTCCACTGGTAAAGGAGTTCCTCCTCCCCTTCTTTCTTACCCTAGTCTATCAGGTGTCATCAGGACTGACTGCATTGTCTTCCTCTGTAGCCTGTTAAGGCTGCATCCCCCAGGGGGAGGTAATCAGAGGGCCAGCACCTCCTCCCCTTACTAGGGAATCCACTTGGAGACTGAGTCTATGGGCTACATCTGAGCAGGGGTTGTAAGTCCTCTCCAGGCATTGTCCTTGGTTGGGGTATCAGTCTCTGCAGGGGCCCCAGGGCTCAGTTTTTGTTGCTGTTGTTGCTTGTTTTTTGTTTTATTTATTTTTGGCTCTGTTGGTCTCCTTTTGTAAGTCCTTTAACGTCTAGGTCTTTTTATTTCCCACTTCTTTGATAAAATTCCATGCACTCTACCCAGCAAAGTTTGGCTGTGTCTCGGTCGTTGCTTTGATACCTTGATCAGTGAGCCATTCAGGACACCTGTGCAAGCACACTGCTCTGGGAAATAGAAGTGCCCCTGAAGTACAACCTCTGCTTAAGCTCCTCTCTCACATGCCACCCTTCCAGGCAGGCACAAGGCCATGCACACTCCTGCGCTTGCGCACATGCGCCTGCAACCTTTCCTCCCTTAGCTGCGTCTGAAAAGAGTGTTGTTTAAAAGGAAAGTGTTTCTTTTTTTAAAAGATAAAAGGCACCTAAAGCCAACGGTGTTGAAAATATCAAACATAATCTCTGAAAAAGATCAATGGTGATATGTATTCATCTAGACTCCAAACCTTTCGTGATTTCCACTTACAGAGTATGACAGAGATTTTATGTAATTATAAATTCATGGAATATTCAAACTCCATTATTAACTCACAGATTTTCATGGTAAATGCAGAGCACATCATCTTCAATGGCAGCTGCGCAATGACAAGTTGCTAAAATGCATAGCTTAGAATCGTGAAAGAGGCCAGCAGGCCTACCCCACATTTCAGTTCACACTATGATCGAATTACCTCATCACATTAAACACCTTAAAAACACTGAAAGTGACTATATGATTTCATGACTTAAACCAAGCTTCATAAAAATTATTTACTCTACGTAGGATAATACGGAGTGCAATTTCTTGTCGTTCAGTTCAAAAGTAATAGGCTACTCAGCATTTCATGAAATAATTAGCAAAACTAACCTCTATTTGTATAAATATCTTGATTTGTTTTATTATTAAAATATAGTAAGTTACAAAGACATGTTTACAACTGTTATGAAGTGCAATTTCTTTTACTTTTTTGGTTTACAAAATAATGATTTCTTTGATAATTATCAAAGAAAAAAATCAATAATTTTAGGGAATAGCAAATGTAAGGAAAAGACTGCTGAAGTAAGACTGGGATCAGTCATGCATGGCTATGTAATCTCCTGGTTATTTGATCATACTTTATGCTATTTCTTGAGGTAAATAGATTTGTATTGGATGGGCTAATCAAAATATGGCAAAGAGTTGGTACCTTGTTTCAAATTCAATTCCTGCCTGAACCCATGCTCAATATATGCTGTAAAATACGATTTTATTGTTGTGGCTTGGTATGAATGGCTGTCCATATCACCAAATATTTTTCATCAACAAAATTACATTTATTCCACATCATAATTTTTTCTTTTTAAATGTTTATGATTTATTTTTTAGTGTGAAGAATTAATGAGGGTATCATTTTCTTAAATGAGAAAATAACTAAATACATGTTAAAATTCTCACACAAGGGTATCTAGACATATGCAGATTAATATTATAAACATGTGGAAGATGGAGCAGAGAATCAATATAGCCATACTATTTCAGTTTGTGGCACCATGCAGAAAGAGAAGAGTGCCCTTATCAGTGGACTTGGAAAGGGGCAGGGAGGAGACCAGGGAGGGAGTTGGGGAGGGGGAGGGAATGAGGGAGTGGGATACAGCTGGGACAAAGAGTTAACAAAATGTAACTAAAAAGAAAAATAAAATAAAAAAAATAAATAAAAAAAATAAAGAAAAAAAAGAAAAGTCAAAAAAATTAAATGTCAATAGTTGATATTTTGGAAAATAGTAAAACATTCTGATTTGCTTTAGTGAAAGCCAACAAATGTTTTTAACCAATTGGCATGAAACTAATAGTTTTCAGTGTATATGAAACAAATACTTCATCCAGTTAATTAATAATGATAAAAATTAGCTTGTGCCATTCTTTTATTGATATTCCATCCTTGCAGTCACATTTTGAACTATATCTCAGAAACTGTCAATTAAAAGCATGTTACACTCCAGGAAGCATTAAATTAAGTATTATAATAAACACTGCAATGTGTTACTTAGGAATAAATATCCACTGAACCTGTTTGTGTCAACACATGCAAACATATATTCAGCAGACTCAAATGAAAACATTCAGCTCTCCAAGCTAGGGAAGGTAAAGAGATAAGAATGCAAATCCCTTGTCTGTAAAGAAAATTATTGAAGGGTAAAAAAATGATTCTTGAAGTGCCATGAATAAAATTAAAACACTTACTGTGGAAAGATTGAAGAATGTTAATTATCCTTTGATCTGCTAATCTTCCTGATTTTGTCATCTGGCCACATTTGAGTTGATTGGAAGACTCTCTTGATTCAATCCAACAAACCATGTCTTCATTATAAATAAAGTCTAAAGTATGGATTTCATTTCTGTTGGCTGAGCTTATGGTTGTTATTTTACTTCCATTAATGAAGAAGACCTCAATTGTTTCAGGACTTGCGATTAGTAACATTGGTGGCATATCTGTAGGTTCTAGAATAAAATACAGAAGGATGTTGTTAAGGAAAAGGATCTTGTTTTTTTTTTTTTTTTTTTTTTTTTTAATGAACTAAAAGTTACTCCAATACTTACAAAAACAGCAGGAATAGAAAGAATGGTTGCATGAAAACATTTTTAATAAACTGCATTCATATCTCATTCTATGCATCTTTCACTTGCTTCCATTATACCCCAAGTCAGAAAACATGGTCTGGATTTGAGAGAAATATTGTTTACTTTCATGGATGGTAAATATTTTAAGCTCTGTTCTGTGAGTTTTTTTCTGTTGTTGTTTTGTTTTGTTTTAGCAACAATGATGTATCTGCATGACCCTTTGATATAGTTTCTGAGCTTTTCTTGGAAACAAGGATGTGTAGTTGGAAAATGAATGTGAAAGGTCAGAAATATTCTCTCTGGAGCAGAACACAGAAAACTGGCCTTCCCAGCAAGATGTCCTGGTAACCTTGACTTCTCTAGCTCTGGACTGACCCAAGAGCCAAACAATCAATGCTACATGTAAAACAAAGTTCAAGACCATGCTTTTATGCAATGCAGTTTTGGTGGTGTAGGACTGATATATTTTTGATGGGCATACTGAAATTGTCTGATGGGCATACGGGATTTTAATAACACATTTAAAGGTGGTAATAAACCTCACAGGAAAACTAGAGATGTTTACCTGACCACACTAGTGTGCCTAATCTAGGGTAGGGAGTTCAGAATTCCCCACTTCAGCTTTTGCCATGAGCTCTAGCAATGTACCGTTAAGTCTTTTGGGCTCAGATGTCAAACCTATCAGGAACTGACTTCTCAGCTTCTCATTAGTCACTGTCATCATATCCTGGCCAAGCTGTTAGCATCTCTCTCCAGACGTACGCCAGTGGCCTTTCAGCTGCTTTCCCTCCTCATAATGCTGCCTACTCTTAGTGTCTTCCATCACACCGGCTGTAATAATGCCAGCAAGACACAGTGTAGATAACAATCAACTTCTGCTTCATCCCTGCAAAGCTAACCACACAAAACAAAATCAGAACCAGTAACAGGTCTTGAGAACTTTCCTGAGCTGTCTTCTCATGACATCTTTAATGTTTTCCTTCTGACCGCAGTACTGTCACCCATTATCATTTGTTATAGTAGGTTGCACTCTGTGGTGTTCCTTTAATAATCCAGAAATACTGGATCACACAGAATACTGTCTTCTTTATACCACATTGGCTGACATTCTTACCTCATTATTTAAAAGCCACTTTTCTGATGAGGATTTCTGTTACTGCCTATAAAGATTTATTTCTCCTCCTTCTCCGTTAATTTCACCAAGTATTTTTTCTTATCATCCCAATAGCACATATATTTTAATGTTGACTTATTTATATACCTTAATTGTTTTATTTCAAACATCAAGAGGGAACGCCAAAATAATACAGTGCTCAGATAAACAAATAAAATGGAATTTTTATACAGCAGTATTTTATAAAAATATTCTGTCAAACTTTAAAACAAACACATAAAGCATAAACACATTTTAGTCTACGGAAAGACTAAATGCAGTGGCACATGCCTGTAATCCCAGATCTTGGGGAGGCAGAGACAGGTGAATCTCTGTGAGTTCGAGGCCAGCCTGGTCTACAAAACAAGTCAAGGACAGTAAAGGCTACACAGAAAAAAACTTGTCTAAAAAAAAACAAAAACAAAAACAAAAAAAGAAATGAATCTAGAAAAAAATCAAATATTCAAAAATATTATAAACACCAAGTGATCATTCTGAGCACTGTGATGAAGTAGGACCCAAAATTGCATCTGTCTTATGATGATTGATGTAAGTTATGAATCTAAATTTCAAATCAATGTTATTTAATGCCTCTTGTCATTTTTGGTGAGGATAGAGAAATTAGATCCTTTAGCTAGAAGAGATCTTTCCTGAATTAGTCTACTCTCTCCATATGTTAAAAAGGCCAATCACAGAATGTAGTTCAATGAATTTCATGAGTAGTGACATCCTTTCCTCTAAGAAATTACCTTACCCTATTCCATCAGAGTCCACATTGTCAAAGAGAACTGCAGGCTCCCAACTTCAATGGTGGCACCTGCTGGACTTGAGGCCATGCCAGGCACCAGAACTGCAGGAACCCCAGCTGGACCAGAGGCCACACGTTTACCAACTTAAGTTGCCATCCTCTGCTCAACCAGAAGCCACCTTGGCCATCAGAAGCCCAGCCCCCAACTCTGGTGGAGATCTTCTACTCAAGTACAGGCCATGCCAGCCAGAAGATCAAAGAGAAAACAGATCAAGAAAAAAGACACTCAGCAAAGCCAAACTCAGAAATAGGCAACTAGACATACGATAATTTATCCCAAATCAAGATGCCTAGATACCATTATAAGAACACACTCAACAACAGCCAAGGCAATATGTCACCTGAAGAGTCTACCTATCCTAGTATAGTAAGCCCTGAATATTCCAACCGCATGGAAACACGAGAAAATAACATTAAAATCAATTCCATGAAGATTATAGAAGTCCTTAAAGATGGAATGAATAAATCCCTTAGAGAAATGGGGGGGGGGGAGGAATTGAAAAATTCCTTACAGAAAGCCAAGTAAAAACAAACAGTTGAAAGAAATGAATTATCTAACTATTCAATACCTGAAAAGGAAATAGAAGCAATAAAGAAAAGACTGAGGGAATTCTGGAAATGAAAAATCTAGATAAGTAAGAAGAAACTACAGATTCAAGCATTGCCAGCAGAACTCAGTAGATAGAAGAGATAAAACATTGAAGATACTGTAGAATGAACAAATGTATACGGTTTTTTAAATGTTGAATCTAAAAAAGAAATACTGACACAAAACATTCAGGAAATTTGGAACACTGTGAAAAAACTAAAGCTAAGAATAATGGAAATAGAAGGAGAATAATCCAAGCTCAAAGGCCCAAATAATAATTTTTACAAAAACATAGAAGACTTGTTTTTTTCTTATATAAAAAAGAATGCCTATAAAGGGGGAAAAAAAAACAAAAGTAAAAATGCTTGCAAAACACCAAATAGATTGTAAACTGGGAGGAAAAGAAAGTCCTGTGCCATGTAACAATCAAAACACTAAGCACATTGAACAAAGAAAGAAAATTAAAAACTGCAAGGGAGAAAGATAAAGGAACGTATAAAAGCAGACCTATTGGTTCTAAACCTTACTTTTCAGTGGAGATGCTAAAAGCCGGAATGACATACTACAGATGACAGCATTGACTACTATACCCACCAAAACTTTCAGTCACCATAAATGGAGAAAACTAATATTCCATGATAAATTCAAATTTAAACATTATCTATCCATAAATCCAGTCCTACAAAAGATACTAAAAAGAAAACTCCCACCGAAGAACGTTAACTATATCCATGGAAACCCAGCAAATAAGCAATTTCACATAAGCAAAACCAAAAAGGTGCTTGTGCACGAGCATGTGCGCGGACACACACACACACACACACACACACACACACACACACACACACACTCCTGGAACCCCTGCTCAGACATAGCCTATGGCAGCTCAGCATCCAAGTGGGTTCTCTAGTAAGGGGAACAGGAAATGTCTCTGACATGAACTCAGTGGAAGGCTCTTTGACCTCCCTCCTGAGAGAGAAGCAGCCTTGCTAGGCCACAGAAGAAGACATTGCAGCCAGTCCTGATGAGACATGATAAATTAGGATAGATGGAAGGGGAGGAAAACCTTCCCTATCAGTGGACTCAGAGAAGGGCAGGGAGGATATGAGGGAGGGAGGGAGGAAGGGAGGGAGGGAGGGTGGGATTGAGAGGGAATGAGGGAGGGGGCTACAGCTGGGATACAAAATAAGTAACCTGTAATTAATATAAAAACAAAAATTATAAAAAACTAACAGCCATAACAAAATAACAGAAAGTAGCAATCATCAGTCATTGATATCTCTTAGTATCAATGGACTCAATTCCCAATAAAAAGACAGAATGCATGTGAAAACAGGATCCATCCTTCTGCTTTATACAAGAAATAGACATCAACATCAATGGTAAACATTACCTTAGAGTAAATGATTGGAAAAGATTACTCCAAGTAAATGAACTTAAGAAAAAAGCTGATAAAGCTATTCTCCTATCTAACAAGACAGACATCAATGCAAATTCAATCAAAAGAGATAGGGAAGGACACTCCATACTCATCAAAGAAAAATTCCAATTCAATTTTTAGCATCTATGCCCCAACAGCAAGGGCACCAACATTTATAAAGTAAAGCTACTATATCAACCCTCACACATTGATACTGAAGAACTTCATTATTCCACTCTCACCAATGGACAGGTCATTGAAGCATACTGGAGCTTAAGGATATTATGAACCAAACAGACCTAACAAATATCTGCAGAATATTTTCCTCAATTCACAAGAACAAGCCTTCTTCTCAGCACCTCAAGAAACATTATCCTAAACTGACCATATACTCAGAGAGAGAACAACAGAAACAATGAAAAGTGTACAAATCATGGAAACTGGACAATACTGAATGATTGCTGGATCAATGAAGAAAAAAAATTAAAGAAATGAAAGATTTCCTAAAATTCAATGAAAATGAATGCACAACATACCCAAACTTATGGGACACAATGAAAGTAAAACCAAGAGAAAAGTTTATAGCATTAAGTGCCAAAAAAAAAAAAAAGAAAAAAAAGAAATTGGAGAGAGCTCATATTAGCAATTTAACAGAACACCTGAAAAGTTCTAGAAAAGGAGTAGCAAGTTCACCTAAGAAAAGTAGATGGCAGAAAATAATCAAACTGGGGCTGAAATCAATAGATAGAAACAAAAAGAACAATACAAGAATCAAGGAAAAAACAAAGAGTTGGTTCTTTGAGAAAATCAACAGGATAGACAAACTGTTACCCAAACTAACTAGAACAGAGTGAAAGAATATCTAGATTCACAAAATCAGAAATAATGGGCTTGTGGGGGGGGGGGCAAA